GGCTGTGTGCCAAAGTCAACATGATCATGCAAGGTAAATGTCTGTAATCAACTCAGGGCAGCTATGCAGCTACAAGAGCACACCTACAGACCCTCTCGAAAGAGGGATTCAGAGCTGCTTCCGAGTGGCAGGAACGACGGGATAAGTGTGTTTGAAGCAAGGGAGGGAATTTGGAGGGAGATATGCCAATGTGTCTCTACTGCAGTATACTAAAATGTATATATTTAGACATTCTCTGTAATTTTTGAACACACTGCCTAGCCCTGTTCCTCTTCTGTTACTGATGAGATTGGTTGGAGTCTAACAGACCAGCAGGACTTTTTTGCGGGGGTGGGATGATGGCTCTGAGGTTCTGACCCCTGGTATCTCTCCCTCTGCCTCTCCCCAACCCTCTCTCTTCTTACATGACAGATGCAGGCTTTCCTTGTGCCGGTGATCAGGAGGTTACAAACGCAAGGGCTTTCAGCTCCAAAGCGCTGTTGAGGGAGGGACGTAGGGGTTCTGCTTTTCTCTCCAGTCCTGTGCCCTTAAAGTTGATAGTGTGATTAGCTCAGGAGCAGATCTTGCATAGGTGTCCCATAGCTGGACCCCGATGAGCTCCAGCACCTTCCCTGCTGGAGATGGAGGAGGGATGATGCAGGAACCATGGTTAGGAGGTGACCGAGAGCTCTCCAAGGAGCCCAAGGGTGCAGGGCAGATGCAAGCCACTGACGACTGGACTCACAGAGAGTCTGAAATCAGAGGACACAGGGAAGCTTCACATCTCCCGAGTTCCTCTTTCTGTTCTTCCAGTGGCTTCTGGTGCAGTAGCCCACAGACAGCTGAGCAGCAGGACTACGCCGAGAAGGAGACACGCAGCTTGGGGGCAGCTTGCCCATGCCACGACAGGTGGGTGGGAGGTAGGGCTTCCTCCCAAGGAAGGACTGGGGAGGGCCGGCACCCGGGCGGGGCTCTCGGTCTCAGGGAGAGCAGCTGGGAGCTGCAGCCCCTTGTGCAGCGCTGCTGTCCTCTGTGAGCTCTGTAGTGGTGGCAGAGGCCATGTGGAGCTCCTCGTGTCGGGAGGGATCCTGGCGAGGCTGGGTCCACTCGGTGACCCGCTCCTGGTTCTGAGCAGAGCTGCCTGGGGCAGGTGGACTGAATTCACGGGAGAGTTCTTCCCTGACACTCCTTAGGGTGTGTCAGGGGGATTATCATTTCTTCTTTACATTTTTCATGTCCATAAATATGACGTTCATATGAGAGTCTATGGATATTATTATGTTACATGTTATATAATATATAGTAGGTTATGTATAACTTTTATATTTATTCTACTTTAAAAACACTGTATATTTCATTTCATATTCAGAAAAAAAACACATTTAATTTAGAAAGATATTACAACACCTGAGATCTGGCAAAAAAAAAAAAAAAGTGTTAGCGTGAAGTTCTGCAACACTTCATGGACAATAGAAATTTAAAATTCATGGGCTAAAGTTTTCTTTTAGAAAGAGAAGAAAAAACCCAAAATAATGATACAAAATTTCAAAATAAGTTAGAAATTAACAAAGGTTATTATATACCATATTGTTATCTTTAAAGTAGTTGCTCAAATTACAAGATATAGGCTTATAAAATTTATCAAACAATATAAAAGCAAAATTCTCCTTTCAGTGAGTCAACAGAACTTAGTAGTAGAACGATCTTATCTATTTGTGTATATAAATTATATGTATATTTCCGTTCTTTTCTCTTTTCCCTCATCCCAGTTGTTCTTTCCTTTTGAGCAATTTCTTATTTGCCCTTTCACTTTCTTACACCAGGGAGGCAATGTTTACACATTGGGGCATAGCATGGGAGTCTGGCTTATTTCACTTATGAGTACGGTTCTAGTTGCATCCATTTACCTCTAAAAGCCTTGGGTTTATCCACCCTTATAGCTGAGTAATACTCCATTGTATAAAACTATCATATCTTTTTAACCCCTTCCTTGGTTGATGGACGTTTGGGTTTTCTCCAAGATTTAGCTATTAGAATAGTGCAGCTATAAATGTGAGCACATATGTATCATTGTGGTCTGATGTCTTCAATTCTGGGAAAATACCCAGAAGGGGAACAGTTGGGTTGAATGAAACCTATAATCCTAGCTTTTTAATGAAACTCCACACGGATGTCCGCAATAGATTAACAGTCCACACTCCCACTAGCAGTGGAGAAGGGCTCCCTTTTCCCCACAGCCCTCCAGCATTTGCTATTGGCTGACTTCTTGATGATAGCCCTTCTTTCTGGGATGAGATGGAATCTCAGTGTTGTTTTAATTTGTGTTTCTTGAATGACTAATAATATTCAACATTTGTACAAATATTTATTTGTAATTTGTTACTTCTTCATCCGAGAAGCATGTATTCATCTCAGATGCCCATTTTTGGATTAAGTCCTTTCAATTTGGGGAACCTGATTTTTTTTTTTTTTTTTAGTTCTTTGTATGTTTTAGATAGAAGTTCTTCGTCTGAGTGACAGTTTGTTAATTTTTTCCCCCAGTTTGTGGGTTTTCTTTTTGTTCTGTTGGTGATTTCTTTTGAAGTACAAAATCTTTTTAAAAAATGAGACCCTAGTTGTTGATTCTTTAAAGTACTTCCCATGCAGTTTGGTTTTTGTTCGTAAACTCTCTGCCTATCCCTACATCTTCAATATTTCTACCTACTTTCTCTTCTAGGAGATTTAGTGTTTCTCTTTTAATGTTGAGATCTTTGATTCATTTTGACTTCAGTATATGGGTTAGACATGGGTCTAATTTTAGTTTTCAGCATGTGGAAAGCCTGTTTCTCCAGTACCACTTATTAAAGAGGCTCTCTTCCAGTAAACATGTTTGGACGCTTTGTCAAAGATAAGGTGGCCAAGTGTATTTGTAGTTGTTTCTGCACCTTTTAGTCTGTTTCAGTGATCCTCAGGTCTGTTTTTCTTTTCTTTCTTTCTTTCTTTCTTTCTTTCTTTCTTTCTTTCTTTCTTTCTTTCTTTCTTTTTCTTCTTCTTCTTCTTCTTCTTCTTCTTCTTCTTCTTGCTAGTATCATGCTGATTTTATCACAATAGCTTTGTAATATAGTTTTAAGTCAGGGATTGTGATGCCTTCTACCTTGCTTTTGTTTAATGGGATAGTTTTTGAGGAGAGATGAGTGTTGGTCTACACACGGGTGTAGTGACATGAAATCAAATTAAGTGTAATTCTCCAGTGTGGGAATCATGTAGTCTCATTTGACTTTCAGTTGACCTTCAGCTGTCTAGTTCAGACTCCCTTCCCCTGAAGTTGCTGAGCAAACTGAATACCTGTCAGTTCCATCAAGATAGATGCAGAGAGCAATTTAGTCCTATGTCAGTTTTCTTTGAAAGTGTCCCTTTCTATGTATTGGGCTGCCCCACTGCCTGCCCTTTAGGAAGAGGTCCTGAGCTTGGGCTCTTATTAGTAGCTTTAATTGGGGAGCAAACTCTTCTCTGTATCCTGTGAGGAAGAATTTTTTTCTGTATGTCTCTTTGAGGCACCTTCTGTGTGCTGGAAGCTTGGACTCCACAGAGTCCTCAAAAAACATGTTGGGAAATCTTTTGGAAAGTTTCCATCAGTGCACTCTTTCCAGAGGACCAGCGAGTTAAAGCCAGAGGTCACTGTGTGATTTCCAGGACTCCCTTCCCCTGAAGTTGCTGAACAAACTGGATTGTCTGTTGGGACAGCAGTTGGAGTCGGTCTTGTGCAGTGGGAGTATGCACATTAATGCCCCTGACTCTGACCACAAGTCCAGATCTCCATGAGGCCTGTGACGTCACTGCGAGGTAGCGTCATGGGTCCTCACAGTGACCTCGCGCAGCGGTCTTGCCTTCCCGAAGTGCCTTCTGCCCTCTTTTTGCTTTTCCTCTTCTTCTTCTTCCTTCTTTTCTTTTTCCCCCTCCTCTTCTTTTTCTGTTTCCTGCTTTCACACACACACACACACACACACACACACACACACACACACACACACTCTCACACACACATGGCCACCCAAGAATGTATACATCAGGAAAAGGAAAATTTGCATAAATATTTTAATAATAAATTTATTGAGATATCATGGAACTAACACAAGTTACATCTGATTCTCTGCAAGTAGAGAAGGCGCTGAAAGTGTTGGCCACGAGTTTCCAGATACTTGTTAGTGTGTCAGGCTGCTGGGGTGTGCGTATGTGGCAGAATATACAGAATATATATATATATATAT